CTGGTTACTAAAGGCAACTTTGAGTCTGTGGATCATTCAGATGGAGGCTACAGCTAGAGCAGTTCTTTTCTGTTGTACTGTTTCTTACATATGTTGGCTCCACCGCCTTTTAATTAGCCTTTGTGGATGAAATCCTAAGTCACCATTTAGAAGAAAGCTACACAATGATAATCAAGCAGTACTCAGTTCCTGTAGTGCTTTGTATAATCACCCTCAGTACTAGTTCTAACTTTGAGTTTTATTGCTCTTGGTTTTGGATGAATTTCAGGAGGCTCCCATCCATTTTTCAAAGTCTCACTCCTTCGTGTTTGATGCTCCATAACTTTGGCTGTGGTGCATGTACGCAAAAGTGAAGGGAAACAACATGTTGCTCACCATTTACACTAAAAGTTTCCTAGAAATCCGTTTGTTTACCAGTCTTTTACCAATACACGGAACACCTAAGAGTTCTTAGGAACCTTTTAAAACGTGTCCGTGTTTTCCAGATCGAACAGGAATTTGCATGGAAGTGTTGGTTTTTGGGAAGAAGGGAAAACTGGATTACACCCGGAGAAAACCTTCTTGGAGCGAGGGATAGAACCAACAACAAACTCAACCCACATATGGCGACATGGCTCTCGACACCAGGATTCGAACTCGGGCCACATTAGCGGGAGGCCAGTGCTCTCACCACTGCGCCACCCTTGCTTTATAACTTTTTGGGTCGTTCAGCAGTAGAAGAGTGGTTTTGGTTTCAGTGGTTTAATTTACTCGTGGGATTGAAAGTACAATTAAGTACAACTTAAATCATGCATCTCAGGTCGATTCTTTAATTACAATTGCATTGCTTTAACAAATGCCTTTACTCCTTCGAGCAATCCTTTTCCAACGTAGACAAACCGCTCCCCCCTTCCACTTCGATCTTGCATGGACACAGCGTAGGAATATTTCACACCGAGCTGGCCGTACACCCAGTCAACACTTCCTCCACCTGCTGGGCCTGAAAGGTATAACAAAATTTCATCCATGTACATATAATCGTTGTAGCTGCTACAAATCAGAGAGCTTTCGATTCTAAGACGAGTACGACTACGAGTAAGAGATTTCCTCAATACTAAGTAGTGCTCGCGCGTGAATATTTTTGCGGGAAAACGTAGTAACGGTCGTCACTCTCCTACGAGTTTTAGCGAGAATGTCGTATTAGCGGACACAAGTTATAAAGTACTATATAGGTTAAATTATTTTGCGGCCGAGAGATATAGCTTAAACTCATTCAATAAAGATAACAGTGCTAATTTTTTTGGTAAAAAGATGTACAAGGAAGCTATCCGGGGTGTCCATTATTTGAGAATACGCGCGAAAAACCTTTAAGTGAGATCTCGTACACCGGTAGTCGTTCTCGTCCTAGAATTTAAAGGTCTCTATTATCGAGTCACTCAGCTTGACAAGTCTTCAGGGAACCTCTGGAATCATCAACAATCTGCGAAAAACTTTCATTGAATCCCCTTCGCCGGGATTTTGTAGATGTCATAATAATTGTATGGAGAATAGATCACATATACGCTGATCTAAACAGAAAGGAGTTGTTTACTAGTTAAGAGTACCACAAAGCTAAAAATAGTTAAAAAGTGAAGACTGAGGTAATTTCTTTCGGCAAATTGGGAACTAGGCATTGCATGGAAATTGCAAAAGGTCCTGTCAGGCTCACCATGTTAATGTATAAACAGCTCTTGATTTTCTAGTTCCACGCTGGGTCCACCTCCTACTGATAGTTTCCTATCTTTTTTTTTTGTTGTTTTTTTGCTTTATTTTTGATTGTTCGTTTTTGTCTTTGCTTTGACTGACCGATGCTGGTATAAATTTGCCAGTGACTGTTAACGAACTAAGGGGATTGCTGTATTGAAATGTTTAAACCTTTTAATTGTTTAAGTAAATCTATAGCCGGATTTTTGATAACCGGTTATCGCCAGATGGGCCTTTTCCATCGATCCAACAGTTTTTTTCGGCCAAAAACTATCTCCAAAGTAGCCACTATAAAAACTAAGAGTGCAGCCATTGCTTTTTTCTCTTCTCCTCCTTTCCTTCTCCTCGCTCTTTCTCTTTTTCCTTTCCTTTTCCTTCGTGTCTGCTTTTCTTTTTCTGTTGATGTGCTTGTCAGTGCCCCGCCACGACTAGCTTTCCAGCTATTTGCGGGACAAACTATTCAACTTTTGTATTTTTGTCCAAAGAATGAAGTTGTTGTCGTTGTTGTTGTTTGTTCGTTTCAGTGATTTTGGAGCTTCTCGGACTTAAGAAACCTGCCTTTTGGCGCTTTTTTTTCTGAAATGACTGCAAATTGCGTTAGTTTGGTTTTCAAAAAATCGGCTACATACATATTAGGAGCTTATGATGTAAGGGAGTACCTCCATCACGGAAACTTGCTTGACAACAACTCTGATATGCATGACGGTAACCCACTTTATAAATAGCTTTGGCAGCCTCTAAACCAGCTTTCTTCTGTGAATAGAATATATGAAAAGGCCCGAGGGAATTTCCCAGAGTTATTATTAACAAAAAATCAAGGAAGAAAAGAGATAAACTCGGAAACCCTCGCGAGGGGAGTGCTCAACAAAATCTTATAAGGGAAGGCTCCTCCCCAAGGTCAAACCCCTTACCCTTTTATACACCATTTTTGAGAGAAATGGTACCCCTTCAGGGGCGTAGCTAGGGGGGGATCCTGGGGTGCCCGTGACCCCCCCTTGGTAGGCCTTCTTTTGAGCAAACAACCTATATCTTGGCCGTAAAAGCCATTGTTGAAAAGCCCACTTTTAAAATTTGTTTTTTTGTAAAGTATTTTCGTCAACGGCTCTTGTCTTTAGTTAATATGGGCCTTCATGCCGCGATAATACGACTGAGCCCGCCGATACACGAGGGAGAGCATCGGTATAAACCATATATAGTCGACGTGACAATCTGGTGAGTAGCCTCTGTGACCCCCCCTTTGAAAAATCCTGGCTACGCCCCTGCCCTTTCGTATACATTTTATTGACAAATGGTACTCCTTTGAAATACAGTTTTAGAGCGCTGCATCCCCCCTTTAACTCACGCTGCTGAAAATGCACCGTCTTTTAATTCTGAATGAATCACTAAGTCAAAAAGGCTTTTTTTATCTTTTTCACAGCATTAAAATGCGTCTGTTAGCCCGGCTTTGAAGGTCCGTTTACGGACCGCAAGGACCGATTTCCCTACCCTTTCATGTACTTCATCTGGTGAAATCCTTACCCTTCAATATACCTGAAGCCTGGAAAAAGGTACTCCTTTTGGCATAGCCTTTCCGTATAGGCCGTTATAGGGAGTGCCCCTAGGCGAAAATCTGATTGATATAATGACGTAATTGTCGTCATTATGACCTCATATTGTTGAAATTATTGGCAAAATCCACATTTCCCTTACCCTGGGTACCAGAGGTTTTTCTCGCTTGCGGCGAGGAATTTTCGGTGTTGGCCGAAGGGCGACACATCTTCGACCGTAGGCCGAAGCCTTGACAGAAACCGGAAACCGCGCTAGAAGAGTCTCTGGCACCCAGGGTACATTTCCCTCAAAGTAGCCATAAATGGAATAAAAGTCAAAAAGTAAGGTGTCTGATAAAATTAAGGTGTTGCCTAGCACATAAAATAATCTTCAACAATAACAGTGACGTCATTTATCCAAACGTTAAATAAGGAAATGTAACAATCCGCCATCTTGGATCCATCATTTTAAATTACTTTATATATTCAACTTTTTCGTAACGGGGCGGGGAGGTGGGGGAAGTTTGGGTGCTCAAAAGTCCCCTTGTCTGATCTGAAGAGGGTTAAAGTCTAGTTGTACCTGTATATCGTGGTCTGGGCTGTTGGTAAAAGTGTATCTCCATGGCATCTGCCATTGTCGCCTTCCACGATCTTGGAAGTCAAGGAAGCCTTTCAACTTGCCACCAAGACTTTGCAAGTAGCCTCGGACATTTCTTGTCTCAGGTTCAGAAAACGCATGATTCCCTCTGTAAATGTTACTTTTAGGTTCCTGTGTCTCTGGATGCGATGGGTTTATATCTGTTAGAAAAGAGTGGATAACTTTGTTACCTTTAATCGTCTGCTACACAGCCTTTCTTTGTGTCGCCACGCAACGCTCCTTCCCTTGTAAAAAAGATAGGCTGTGTAGCAGACTTTCTTACCTTAGCCTGCCTGTGTAAGGAAAACAACTGAGCTTCAATCCCCGTGGTTCGCAAAGGTTCGCACTTTTGTTGACGTTATCGAAATAGCAAGGACGTAATACTTTCCGTTTTATACCATCAACTTTATTTTTCTAACTTGCATTAACAGCAAATCCTGCACTTACATCCCCAGGCATAGCCAAAGTTTCTGTCGAGATCCACACCTTGTCTAAAGCATCTGCCCCTTATGCATAGAATATTTCTATTTTTTGGCCAGTTGCGTGCAAACGAGTTCTACAGAAAAAAAAGTGAAGGTTAATTTTGATTGTCTAAAAATCTTGGTGAGCTTTTTTCTCATCTTTATGCGTGACCAGCCCAGTTGTTGGTGCTTGACGGGGAGTAGGTGTGTATGTACCACTTCGTCCTCCATATTTGGATCGCATCATAGAAGAATATTCTCATTCAACAACAGTCTATTGACAAAGACAGGAATCCAGTACCAGGATAGCCTGCGAACAAGCTTTCCGGGGCGCTCTGTCGACGGGGCAGGAAAAAAAAAGGATAGATTTGAACTACGTCTCTGGAATTTGAATATCGATCTGCATCGAAAATGTCGATGCGAAATGCTGGTTGGCGGAGATGACATTAGCAATGACATCATTACCCTTGGCACGTGTTTTTCGCTATTTTTTTTTTTTTTTTACATTAGCGCTCCTTTCCGCTTCGCGCTAATTGGCGGAAATTGGACAGCTCAGTTGATGGGGAGCCACAGGGGCATTGGAGGTGGAATTCAACTTCGAGGGACGTATTTGCAAGCTCTCCTTCCTTTTCCCGCCCCGCCGCCAAAGCGCCCCTTAGAGCTTGCTCGCAGGGTAGTACCTGGGTAGTACCTGGAATCCGGAAGCGACGGCGTGGAATCCAAAATCTAAGAGACCAGGACTGTCTTGGATTTCCTCATACTGGGTGATAAAAATCGTAACCTGAAGCTCCCTATCTTAAAGTAAAATATTTCTTACAGAACTGTGTTTGCGAGAGTAATAATATCCATCCACATTCATAACGGGTAAAATAACCACGTCCATTTTGTCTAACATCTCAGTCACTGTGGACATCAGTCCATATTGCGATGAAATCTAAAACAAAAACGGTTGATGAGAAAGAATACAATATTGAACTTTTCGCAGACAGCACTGTGGTTAGGTTCACTCTGCTCTAAAGGCAGCGAAAGATCTAGTCCAAATAGGGCGTTTTCTCTCTCTATGGAAGCAGCTATAAAAAAATTAATAGAACAGAAGAAAGTGCTTTTATAAGTTTTACTTTCGCAGATTCGGGAAGATTGATATTTGGGACACCATTATGGCCGCCGCTTTAACGTCACGTAAAAGAAGTAATAAATTGTTAAAGGAGGTTCACGCTTTTCTTAGCTTCTTCGCACGTGATCTTTGTACTGTTTTAGACCCCCCCTAATATCCCGTAAGATCGTCCAGATCGAGCGCTTTGCATTACGGGCGGTCACTGACTAGTCCCCAGTCGTCTTTCACAATCACCTCCAGCTCGGCCTACTCCCCAACCCTGACCAACAGAAATTGAAGACAAAGCTTATGCAAAATTTTGGAGGGACAACAAAGAGTATTATAGTATTTTTGAAAAAGTCCTATTGTACTCAAGCTTGTATTAGAAAGCTCTTACGTTTGGGTCTGCTACAAACTATAGTTTGTTAACCAACAACACTACCAAAAATTGGCATCTCTGATGAACATTTGGACCAGTGGTCTCGATATTGAAAGAGTATAAAATACACAGCGACCAGTGAAAATGATAATGGGTGTAAGCATGTTATTTTAATTACTAGTTCTTAACAGCACGTTACCTTGTCAGCGAGATACATACACAGGGAGCCAGTTATCCATTCATTACCGTGGATCAGACATTGCATGAACAACACTGGTTTGTTTGCTGTCTTTTTACCTGAAATCTTGAATTTCAAGACAGATTAATCATTAGCTAGAATTCACAAGGAGCCCTTTCTTCTATAATTAACTTGCGTCATTTTCTACACTGTAGTATCTTATAACAAGAGAGGATGACTTTTTTCTTTCGAGTCGGAACGGCTTCTCCGGCGAACTGCCGCAAGCCAGGACCGTTTTGATCGTCCGCAGCTACTCTGACTACTCTGGCCAGATTTTCTTCCTAAAAATCTCAGTTTGACTTGTCGGCGAAAGTAATACCAAGTTTACACGTCAAGTCGCTTGCTGCATTTGCGTTATCGGCAGTGAAATAAATTACCCGCCAAGTTTAAAATTACATGATAACGCCAGTCTAACCGACCAATAAGGTGGCGTCCTTAAAATAACTACGCAGTATGACACAGCTAAGAATAGATCAAAAATAATTTTCATGGCCGGAAAGAGGGTCATGTATTGGGGATTCGATCTCTTAGCTCATTCTCTCTTTAAAAAAATTATTAATAAAGTTTTGCCACGTGTGAGGTAATCTGGATTCCAAAATCAAAAAATTTTTTGCCCGTACAATCAGGAATCCTGGGCTTTGGAATCCGGAATTTAGCCTAAGGAATCCGGAATCCCACTAACGATTGAATCCACTGAAAATTAAGTAATTCTGAAGGTTGTCATAGTAAATCCCGTAACGGTGTAATGGGTAACGACGTAACAATAATTGACCTCCCAGATTCGCGGAGCGGCAAGTAATATATTCCAGTGTCTCAGAAAAACTCCAATACTATTCGCCAAAATGTCTCAAATAAGCAGGAGTTTCAATTGCTTCAACACTGACTTGAAGAAATCAGATTTAAAGGAAAAAAGAAAGAAAATATACCTCGTTACGCCGCTGTTTCGGCCGTTGCTCGTTACGCCGTTACGGGGTTTTACTAATAACCAATCAGATTCTAAGACTGTCTTGGATTATCTTACACTGGGGAGTGAGAAATTATTTTGGACCATTATACGTTTCTGGGAAACTTACCACCCACCTCTCTCCTAAGCTAACATTTTGCTGTAAGTGAGAAGTAAGTGTGCATGCATGTTGTTATAATGTTGGCTTAGGGGAGGGGTAGGTGGGAAGTTTCCCAGGAACGTATAAATTCTATAATTAACTTGCGTCATTTTCTACACTGTAGTATCTTATAACAAGAGAGGATGACTTTTTTCTTTCGAGTCGGAACGGCTTCTCCGGCGAACTGCCGCAAGCCAGGACCGTTTTGATCGTCCGCAGGTACTCTGACTACTCTGGCCAGATTTTCTTCCTAGAAATCTCAGTTTGACTTGTCGGCGAAAGTAATACCAAGTTTACACGTCAAGTCGCTTGCTGCATTTGCGTCATCGGCAGTGAAATAAATTACCCGCCAAGTTTAAAATTACATGATAACGCCAGTCTAACCGACCAATAAGGTGGCGTCCTTAAAATAACTACGCAGTATGACACAGAGCTAAGAATAGATCAAAAATAATTTCCATGGCCGGAAAGAGGGTCATGTGTGGGGGATTCGATCTCTTAGCTCATTCTCTCTTGCTGATAACCTTTCATCATAGAAGAGCATAACATGGCCAGGTTAACATAAAAGGCTTAGCAGCTTTAAAAAAATTATTAATAAAGTTTTGCCCCGTGTGAGGTAATCTGGATTCCAAAATCAAAAAAAAATTTTGCCCGTACAATCAGGAATCCTGGGCTTTGGAATCCGGAATTTAGCCTAAGGAGTCCGGAATCCCACTAACGATTGAATCCACCGACAAGTAATTCTGAAGGTTGTCATAGTAAATCCCGTAACGGTGTAATGGGTAACGACGTAACAATAAGTGACCTCCCAGATTTGCGGAGCGGCAAGTAATATATTCCAGTGTCTCAGAAAAACTCCAATACAATTCGCCAAAATGTCTCAAATAAGCAGGAGTTTCAATTGCTTCAACACTGACTTGAAGAAATCGGATTTAAAGGAAAAAAGAAAGAAAATATACCTCGTTACGCCGCTGTTTTGGCCGTTGCTCGTTACGCCGTTACGGGGTTTTACTAACAACCAATCAGATTCTAAGACTGTCTTGGATTACCTTACACTGGGGAGTGAGAAATTATTTTGGACCATTATACGTTTCTGGGAAACTTACCACCCACCTCTCTCCTAGGCTAACATTTTGCCGTAAGTGAGAAGTAAGTGTGCATGCATGTTGTTATAATGTTGGCTTAGGGGAGGGGTAGGTGGGAAGTTTCCCAGGAACGTATAATCCATTTTGTTTTCCTTATCCGTAGCTAGGTGTGAGTATTAGAGTTCAAAGATGTACATACTTTTATTGCATACATTTGCCTTCCCTCATGGGACTTTCCAAGCGAAAACAAATCAGCATTGTCATACGTGCGGTTCATCTCTTTCAACTTTTCCAAGATCTGTGAAGTAAAATCAAATTAACCTTTGACTAAAATTTGTTGAATTTGCACCTACGAATTAATTTCATTAACGTTTAAGCCAATAGTTTTAAAAAATTGTAGACGATTTAAAAATTCAATCAGAAAAGTTAGGAACCACTCCATTCCTCTGTCGGAGACTGGCAAAGCTGATTATAAAAACTAATACTATACCAAAAACTGGCCGTACCAATGCAAAGTATTTCACTCCTTAGTCAGTTACGTTATATTTCGCATTCACCTCATTGGCAAACTATGTTGGCTTGAAGATAAATTGAAATAGAATTTGTAGGCATTCAAGTAGTGCGTAAACTGAACCAAAAGCAACCCGTAATTTCCTGGCCAATCAGAATGCGACGCGCAGAAATTCAAATAAACCAATCAAATTTCGAAGCAATTGCATATACTGTTTACCGTCTTCCTACTTAATGACAGACGCATCTGATTAACGAGACAAAAACGAGCGAAGAGGGCACGATTGTTTTACACGTGATTGGTCAAGACAGTAACAAGAGAGTTTTACTGATTAAACACAAACCCTACTCATTTTATCTCAAATGAATCGCAAAATCTCTCTCCTCTCTCGTACTTACTTCATCAAGGTTGTGATACGTACTATGCCAGTTTTCATCAATGCTTCTTGTTTTCCGTTCATCGGGCATGCGCACATCATCGTCTAAAACTTCTTCACTGAAGACATGGGAAAATTAGCGAAAAAAACAATAAGTGAACCCAGAACTAAGCAAACAGGTGTGACCGGACATTAATTATTATTTAAAAAATTGGAAGCTCAACCTATCTTGAAAAATATACAAAAAAAGTAGCGTATATTAGGGATTGAAAATTTTCATTGTATTGAAATACATCAATGCGGTCAAAATCATTCTAACAAAGATTTCACTGAAAACACTAAGTGTCAGTTTTAACAAGATGACCTCCTCTTAGAGTCCAAAAAAGGCAACAACAACAAAAAAAAAGCAGGCCCAAGGCTGGCCGGAAAAACTCTAGGTGTCCGTTCCAAGGAGATGTGAAGGATGTCCAGGGGAGGAAAGGGTTGAGTCAGTGTTTTTCAAGGGAATTCAATATAATTACGAAATTTTCAAGTCTAAATTTACTTGGGAACCGAAAATTGTTTCTAAAATCATTTTTCTTTAAAGGAGGACATTTATAAAAAGCGTAATTTTGTGACCAATAACATCCTAACAAAATCGCTTTCAAATGAACTATTCTTACCTTCGTATTACTGAAGTTTGAAGTAAGATTACGGAGACGATTAAAACGAGTGGCATTTTGCAGCTCAAGATATGCGTTCTCATTTCGTTCAACCTGTGTAAGGTGACGAGGCGAGAAATACGCTATCAGAGTTCAATAAAAAGGTATTTGTGCGTTTGGGGATGTAGTGTTTACATGACTTATGTGTACAAATAATGTTTGTACTAACATTTGATTTAACACGAAGGCTGGGCATATATTGTGCAATTAAAAATGAAACACCTTTGCTAACGAAACTAGTAATGCTGCTAATGGAGCTTGCTTGTGCTGTAACTGAATTAGGGATTTCTTCGTCCATGTTTTATGAGTAAAAAGGTGTCGATGAGGTAGATTACTAAGTGAAACATTGTTTTAGTCCTTTTGAAACACGGCTTAAATGAACCATCGATCTCGTTTTGGACCTCATTTATTACTGCAGAAATTTTGGTAATTAAAAATACATTGAAGACAAGTAATATTTATTTTTAACATTTACTTGCTGCAATAAAAGCTTGAGTCATGCAACCCTTCGAACGCAAATTTTCGAAAAGCACCAGAATTTTTTTACTTTTAACCAACTTTTTTTTTTTCTTGGAGCAGAAGGTAGGAGTGTTTATCGAGGGGGGGGGGGGGGGCGGGGGACGTGGGGGGGGGTTTTTCTCGTTAGAACCCCAACACGAGTCTGGGGGGTTCCGCCTTTTTACTAACATGCACAAGTGTAAAAGTGGCTA